CCTCCCCCTCCTTTGTCTCGAAAACCTGGCTCTGTGTGCCATCTTTGCTTCTTCTTGAAAGGCTGTGAAATGCCACCTGATTGTGGAACTGTTTCCCAGCCCACACCACCACACTGGTGGAATCCTTGGGACATTTTTTGGTTTTGTTTTGATTTGTTCTATTTTTTGTTTTGTTTTGTTTTGTTTTCTTTTTCTTTTCTCTGCTTAGGAGCTCCTTCTAGCTGGACTGTACTGCGTGAGTTGGGAGCTACTTGCTTGGTCTGGGCAGCTGTGCAGGGGGGCGGGATCCCTGGGGGCATTTCTTTTTCTTTTCTCTCTTTTTTCCTTTTAGACTTTCTTCATTTCTCAGTTTCTTGTCTCTCTATACTTACCTGATCTTCCTGTCTCCTGAATACCTGGTGCTGTGTGACATCTCTATCCCTTCTAGCTAGGCTGTACTTTGTGGCCTAGGAGCCACTTGCCTGATCTTCGCAGCCACACCAATGGGACACCTGGGGGCTTTTCTTTTTTTTCTGATTTTTATTTATTTATTTTCCCCTTTTTAAAATTTTTTTTTCCATTTCTCTGATTCTTGTCTCCCCACTCAAACAAAAGCTCCCTTAGCACTCTATTTTTTGGCTCCTATTTCTCTCTCCTCTCTCTCCTCTTTACCATACACATCTTAGCTCCACACATCACAATTTCCCCCCTCCTTCCTGCCTACCTGCACTGTGCACTGAGCATCACAGCCCCCAAGCAGTACAGGCATGGCCTACTAGAACCTGGCCTGCACTGATTCCTGGCTCACCCTGTCAGCCCTAGTATGTGCCACAAACAACCCATCCCAGCTGCTTCCCTTCAGCTAGACCTGACCTGCTGCACAATAGCTGAATGACTGTCACTGCCCATTGGACAAGGAGGTGAAAAGTTTCATGCCCACAGACAAGCAGAAAACAAAGAATACGCAGCCTGCCTGCTCAGACATAACTAAATAAAACAGAAAAGCAGGACAAAACAAACAAATCTACAATCAATAAATGAAGAAAATAACTACTGAATGTCCCAAAGACAGAAGACAGTATGAAAATATATTTTAAAAAGGACAGGATGGTCCCAGTAGGCATCCAAAATAAAACACCAGATGACTTTCCAGTAGAAAAAAAGGCACTAGAACTACTTGATAGGGAATTCAAATCTCTAATATTCAGAGCTATCCAAAAGTTGAAGCAAATTCAGATAAAAATGAGGAAAAAA